GTCGTTGAAGCATGCACAGGATTGAAAGTTGGATTGTTTGGAAGCCATTGCAATAGTGTGCTGTGATCTGCTGCTTGTTGCTGCATATGCTGCTGAGGTAAAGGCCGTGCTGCTGCAGCTGATCGATCGACCGCTCGGGCAATACCACTCCTCCTCCTGCACCAAAGAACGCACCAAAGACCTCACCAGAGACCTCACCAGAGACCTCACCAGAGACCTCACTAGAGACCTCACCAGCCAAAGACCGCCCACACCAAACAGGACCTCACTAAAGAACTCACCAAAGCACTCACTAAAGAACTCACCAAGGCACTCACTGCAGGACTTACTACTAAAGGACTTGCTATAGAACTCACTAAAGCACATACTCACTAAAGCACTCACTAAAGGACTTGAAGCATGCAAAGACCTTACCAAGAAAGACCTCACTACAGACCTCGCCAAAGACCTCACCAAAGCACTCACTAAAGGACTTACTAAAGGAGATCTCTCCAAAGACCTCACCAAAGAAGTCACTAAAGAACTCATCATAGAACTCACTAAAGAACTCAACATAGACCTCACTCAAGCACTCACCAAGGACCTCAATAAAGACATCTCCTCTATACTAGACCTCACCAAAGAACTCGCCAAAGAACTCACCAAAGAACTCATCAAAGAACTCACTACAGAACTCACCAAAGAACTCAATACAGAACTAACTAAAGAACTAACTAAAGAACTAACTAAAGAACTAACTAAAGAACTAACTAAAGAACTAACTAAAGGACTTAAGGAGATCTCTCCAAAGACCTCACCAAAGAACTCACTAAAGAACTCACTAAAGAACTCATCATAGAACTCACTAAAGAACTCACCATAGACCTCACTCAAGCACTCACCAAGGACCTCAATAAAGATATCTCTATACTAGACCTCACCAAAGAACTCACCAAAGAACTCACCAAAGAACGCATCAAAAAACTCACTACAGAACTTACTACAGAACTCACTACAGAACTCAATAAAGACCTTACTGAAGAACTAACTAAAGGACTTACTAAAAGACTTGCTATAGAACTCATTAAAGCAATCTCCAAAGGACTCGCAAAGGACTGGCCAAAGAACTCACTTTAGGACTCAATAGTATAGATCCCACCAAAGAACTCAGTCTCTTTCATATGATGCATGTGTGAAAAAAGTACGGATAGAAGCACAGACGTTCTAGACTCTAAGTTGCATGTATGGCCCGCTGCAGGCGCCCCCCGGGAGGGCCCCCCGGGAGGGCCCACCGGGAGGCCAGATACAGAGACACACACACAATACCGTACAGAGGGCAGGAGGATACGACGAGAGGTTAGGGGGCTGGGGGGGGGCACCCCCAGAAGAGGGGGGGTTGGGGGGAGGCCCCCAAGAAGCCTTGACTGCAAGTTATGCATGCTGTGGTGTGCAGTCGTATTCAGTAAATCATAAATTGCAATACCAATTGCTGGTTATTACGCTTCTCTGACCGTACATTCTTTCATTCGAGGGGCTTCCTGCCTGCTTTTAGATACCGGTATATGAGATGGCTTTTTCAAAAGTTCTGTCTCCACATTTGGTACGAGTACTGGTACTCGTCATATAATACTGGAGCGGCCGGGAAACTTGGTCCGACGAGTCAAATCAGATACAGACTAAAGTTTAAAGTGGAATCCTGTAGGCGGAATCTTATGAAGAATATTCTAAATGTCGACAGAACTGTTTCTTTCAATTTGTCGGTCTGAAAGACGTTAATTGCCGGAATGCCAGGGGTTGTAGGTGCGTGACCACATTAAACCAAAATAATTATGAATTGTTTTTCGAATTTTACAATTAAAGAAAAGAGAAAAAATATTGTTCATATCCTATTGGTGGTCCTGTGGGACGCGGCAATGCATGCTCGCGTCCCTGTGGGACGCGGCAATGCGTGCTTGCGTCCCTGTGGGACGCGGCAATGCGTGCTCGTTGGCCACTTGGCCCATCACCCGGGATTCTCCATTTTCGGGAAGCTGGTGGCGGGACCCCCCCCCCCCGGCGAATCATTGCAACGGTCACGAAGTCAAACAAAAACGGTCAAACAAGAAATACTAATACTTATTTCGACAAACTGTTCATCCATGTCATGGGACTTTGCCGGTTTCCACTCTGCTGTCTAGATGACATAATGGGATTCATCAACAATCATCCAGAACGTTGTTGTATGGTTGATCTTCTGACCTTGCCCGTTTCGACTCTGCTGTCTAGATGACATAATGGGATTCATCAACAATCATCCAGAACGTTGTTGTATGGTTGATCTTCTGACCTTCCAGCAATAAGAGAGAGAGAGAGCGCTTCGACAGAGGCGCCGAGTACTCTAGGAGTGCGAGGGCAATTCTGAACAATGCAGAGATACCCATGATCATAACAACTGAGGAGTTCAGATCCACAGAATATGGGCGTTTTTCGAAGTACATCGGTAGGGCTTCTCAGAGGACCGCCAAGCTGTTGTCAATCTCACCCAAAGAAGGATTGATTGCACATCTAATTGAAGCAAGGACCCAACATTTCGCACTAGCCGTTGTAAGTATTGGAAAACATTCAAACCCATGCGATCGTCCGCTCCCTATATATCATTGAGCTTTGAAGAAGTTTTGGAACAACACTAGTACCATCAAGTAAAATAGTGCTAACACGATAAATTGAACTATTAAATTGATAAGCTCGAGCCATACTCGCTATATTAGTATAGCAACTAGATATTCAATGCACCTAGAAGATTTGAGGCTTCTTCAATCAATGAAAAAAAATAATGTTTGCAGGCACCGAAGACGGGCGAAAGGTTGGAAGGGGAGGCGGGAAAATTGGAAATAAAATTCAAAAATTCACTCCATTCCTATTGGATGGTCCATTGGACCATTGAATGGTCCATTGGACCATCCAATCATAATGCTTCGATTTCAACCAAGGCACGTGGCACAGTGCTTCAATTTCAAGAAAGGCACGTTGCAGCCCAAACAACATGAAAAATGATTGGATGGGCTAATGGCAAAGGGCCCGATACGCTCGCGTCCCTGTGGGACGCGGCCCGATACGCTCGCGTCCCTGTGGACCATCCAATCATTTTATAGCATTTTGCCACGCGACCTGGAAAGAACATCCTATTCGAAACAATAAATATTTTATGCGACAAAAATCACATCTGGCACCTTTTCGAAGGAAACGATTATCTTTTACAGAAAACGAAAAACGCCAACGGATTCGGAGTGTTCTTCGAATGTGGGTGAAAAGGGATCCCGCAACGAAGGATTCCCTGTTCCTTGATTTCGTGTGCGTGCAGCTGACCACTTCGACCTGGTTTCCCGGCCGCTCCTGTAGGGTATCCAACCCTACACGATATCTCGTATGTCGCATATGACACAAATGACGTGAACAATAAGTGTGCGATTCACTAGACAAGACCACATCATGCGAATCAAGCTCAGAAGTGGAGGCGCGGCGCCAGGTAATCTTCGATTAGTCGTACGGTAATCTTGTCGTCCTATCCTCGATCGGACGAGCAGAAATAGTAGTTTTTCATTACCAGAATACGTGGATTTCTACGCAAACAAAAAGCAACTGTGCTGTTTTGCGTCATCGGTAACCCGAAATAAGTCAGTCTCATGTTGGAAGTCGTACAGACGACTCCCCTGAGTCAGATAGTGACGAGTCTAAACCGTCATACATCAACCGTGAGAGTATGGAGAACCAGTCATGGGCAGATGTTGTTCGAAAGATGAACGATTGAATTACAGTAGTTTAAAACTGTGTAGAGGGTTTTGGGATGACCGAAAGCATGAGTTTGCTTTGGCCATTCGAAAACTCTTATCCCAACTAAAGCAAGTTTTATTAACGACTTTAAGGTTCATAGTATTAGGACTACGTTACGCCGAACAACTGAAGACTGATCGTCTCAGAGTATCGTGATGATTGTCGTTACGATGATGAAAAAGTTCCTAGCTTCTGCCTTCGTTGCGAGCCTCTTTGTGTCGGGCATTAGTGCAATGCCAGTAAGTTGTGTCGACACTCTTAGGAGGCTACTCGGTAGCATTAGTCCTAAGCTTGAAGATCATGGTTGGGCTGCTATCCTTCAGTCATGTTCTGAGATCGAATACGAGACTTCTATCTTTGTGCACAAACATGTTTTTGTGGTGTCAACACCAGCCGTGAAAGGCAACACTGATTGCCCAACCATAGCGATGGAGCACAGTGATCTTTTCGCTAAGCCGACTGACCCACATTTTGGAATTCGAAGTGTTAATGCCCATATTTTCACGCTTCCAATAAGTGATCTCCCTCGTTTGTCCCTTGGAACTTTCCCACTTTCAGAGATCGTAAAAGCATTCAAAACTGTGCAAGCCGAAGTTGCGTCTGATACGCACAGCATGAAGAGCTATGACATCATTGTGCAGAACTGTGGTGACTTCCCAGCTCGCATGATGTCCCTTCTGCGCGTCGAATTCGATCAAGAAATGGTTCAATACATTGCCAAACGGCTTCAACAGACATACCGTACCATCGTACGGAACGTACGCACCAGTCCCCACGCAGCCAGCTTGGTGACTGACAACAGCACTCTTGACGAGCTTACCGATCTGCAGCTGCTCGAGCTGGTCGTTGAGTCAAAAGTGAAACATTTATATGATTCGTCTACGACACCGCTTAGTGATACCTACAATGATCCCTCTTACGGACATCGCCAAAGAGTACTTTCAAGAGTAGATCATGGGCCGACTGCTGATGAAAGACGCCTGGCTTCGATTGAATGTGGGCAATGGTACTCTTCTGGTTGTCTAGCGGAAAGCGATGTTCGCTACGATCCTACCGCTTCCAATGCTATTGCCGACCAGAACCCTGCCTGGAAAAAGTTCGAAGGGTTCTACGAAGCAACAGCTACAGCATATGGTCCTGATGGGCGAGTCATTGAGCCATCCTTTCTTGAGAAGGGTGCAACTACTCTGGCCCCCAATCATATGCCATATTCTCAAGCCCCCTTCAAAATGTTCATCAACATCACATTGAGTGGCTCGAGACTATACGAGCAAATGATTGCAGTCTTCACTGCCCCTACCGAAGCTTTCTGCAGCCAGCCTGTACCAGAGGGTATGGAGAACGTTATATCGTCAGGCGAATGCGGTTGGAGTGGAACCTCTGCTTTCTACGAGCGCTTTGGAACAAGTACCTTCGAAAAGGACGGAAGCGTTGCGATGTTGCCCTTCGGGTCAACCATGTCCGGTACCAATCTTGATCGCAAGTCGTATGTCAGTCTTCCTGCTGGTGATAGCAATCACTTCTCGAGCTACTTGGAGGGCGGTGTACTTGTCCAGTATGCTTCTGCGTGTCTTGACGCAGAATGCGACCAGCTATCCACTACTATTGATCAGTACAACACATCTACCCTACAAAGCGAAGAGTACCAATTTTTGGCGTCTACGCGCATTTTCGCCACCCGACTCGCATCATCCAAGCAATTTCTCGATGCACTCGAAGCAGCATACCTCGAGAACAATGTACCTTCTGATCAAAGACCATTTGATGAAGACGGATGTCTCTCTGGCTATTGTCCTGAAGAAAGTGATTGGTGTGAATATGATCCTGAGTGTGCAATCTCTCCGTATCTAGAACCAGAAGCATTTGTCGTTGCTGGACCAGTCATTGGTTTCGTTGTGACTATCACATTGATCATATTCCTGGCTTTGTTTGCTCTGCACAGGCGTCAAATGAAGCAAAAGGAGGCCTTTGTGCGCGCTATGCTTGCAAGTCGTATTGCTGAGGGCATCACCGTCAGTCGTGGCTCTCGCGCTCTCTCACCCGATCAACTGGTCGCCGAGTTTCACAAGATTGACCAGGATAACGGTGGAACCCTCGAGAAGGAAGAGCTTTGGGCGTTCTTGGAGTCTGGACAGGTTGGAAGTATGACCCGAAATGACTTTGATTTGTTGTTCTCCGTGATTGATGTTGACAGGAGCGGAAATGTCGATTTTAACGAGTTTGTAGCCTTCTACGGCAGTGCTATGAAAAAAAACGGCTCCAAGGAAGGCATATGGTCGGATTCATGAGCAGCTGAAGGTATCTTTTTGTAGGTTTTATAGAATGCATTTGTACGCACTATTATTGCTATCTGGCCTAGCAGTATTCCTTCGTCATATTTACAAAACTGTTCTGTCACACCTTAGTTTTGTTCTACCCAGACTATTCTGTTGTAAAAACTCATTTTTCGAGGTGCACGTTGGCGAATTTCGTTTATGGTCACTATTATTTTGCGAGGTATTTCTGAATTATATTTTATCCAATTCGTTTCTTCGGATGGCATCCACAGCAACATCCGCATGCCATTATTGTCATTATAACCAGGTCTTCATTCTTATCTCTGCTCCATCATCACATTAGATCGATTGATTTGTTCGTTCGCCAGAAATATATAAAGTACCCAACTATTGCTACTATTGCTACTATTGCTACTATTACGGCGCTACTGTGTGATCTATTCGATGTTTCGATGGATTTAGTTTAAATATTGTGTGTAAAACTTTCGTTGCGAAAAGCAGATTGTCGTTGTGAAAAGCAGATTGTCGTTGTTGCTTTTCAAAAGGTTGTTGTTTGTT